ATACTGGTGGGAAATTGGCCTGTACATCCCTCCATGATTGTATTTTGCGGTATACAAGGAAGTAACCGTACGTCACTGATTTGGCTGTTTTTACAGTAAAGTCCTTTCGATTTTAAAGACACTTTTAAAATAATAAATTGCAAAGTTCAACACGAGATTTAGTGATCGCAAATCAGAAAGCGTAAAATCGAGATGAAGCTAACACAAGATTTGCGAGGGAAAAAAGGTGACTTGGTCACCGTGTATAAGACTACAGAAACTTCTCAAACCAACCACAAGCAGAGATACCGAGAGAGGGAAATACCAATTAAAAATTAAGACTTTTAACAATTCGCTAATCCCACGACGAAAACACCCACGCACGCCAATCTCTCTCCCTTGCCACACACATACACCCGATGAACCCAGACTAATAACCCGAGAGTAACTAGGCGCGGGAACAAAGGGCGTCCTTACGGTTCGGTACAGCAGTCACCCAACATCCTGTGTGTGTGTGTGTACCAGAGGCCGAGAGGGTAGGCTTCTCTCACTTCCATCGCGCCTGCCTTTGGAAGTGGACGCTGAGGCGAATCATCGAGACCTCACTACAGGACGGGTAAGGGTATGGGGTATTGGGGGAGGGGGGTTAGACGCTGCTGGAAGGGTTTCACTGACGACTATATTTCTGAATCGGTTATGTTGGAGTTTGTCTCTCCCACTGATTTTTTTTTCATATTCAGTTTGTGTTTGCTGGGGAAGTGTAAAGAAGATTTACAGCATTTCAGTTTCTTTGTGCGATTAACAGTGCTGTTCAAACTCAAAAAGGAAAACGCGGGATAGAGATACGATTTTCAGGTTAAGAGTAGCTCAGTAAAGTTTTGGTAACTTAGGGTTTGGGTTATTCTCTTACCATAATGTGTTTCACCCTACGTATATATTAATGTGTAATTGACTAAATTAATAGATCTGACGAGACAAGTTACACGTGCTTAACGACATTCAATTAAAGAGTTTAGTAGCTGCATTAGCGTCCAATCATTTAATCGAGTAACAAATTTATAAGCACACTTTTATATGGCGAGAGATTCAGTAATGGGCCGATGACACAGTGCGCGGCTTATGGCAGCAAGCATTATACAAGCACAAAACCGGACGCAGCCCACGTTACTGCGCACTTTCCTTTGTCGGTCCTTGTCAGCTGGGCCAGTATTGCCAACTGTATTGTCTATGACTTTGGTGCCATTTATCGAAAGAACATTTGTCTGATTATAAGTCGTTTTGCTTGGGACAGAGTCGATCTATTCTGAAAAAATGGAATTGTAAACAAATGGCCACGCGCTCTTTGGCCGAGTCCGGAGAGCTCGGCCGCGCGCAACCCTCGCCACCGCCTGCGTGATTCGAAATGGTCATCAGGTGAATTACCTTGTTCCTCTCCCATGGTCCTGCATGCGGCCTTTGTGGCTCTATTGAGTATATTTCCTAAGTCTTTTTGACATATGACCTTGTCCTTTCCCTCAAGATATTTGCTTTCCTTTTTCTTTTCCTTTTCTTTTAGGTTTACGGTCAGAGATAGCAAAGCCTTCCGTTATTTCCGTTGAGTCCCCCACATGCCATTGTCTGATCCAGATTAATCATATATGATCCGTACTAAGCGACCTTAATGTTCTTTTCCAAGAAGGAATTATGGACAGAAAATATACGTGGTATGCATGAATGTTATTATGGCTATAAGGCCGATAGCAGAACGAGATGCCCAGCGTGAAAAAAAAAAATGTTTTTCTTAGGCTTACGACTGGCTATGCTAGTTATACAGTGTATATAAAGCTGAATGACCTAGTGAAGATGTAGGTTTTTAATAGTTCTTCACTCCCAGTGCATACCCTCTACGATTTGCAGCTAATATCTATAAAAATAAAGAAGTATGAGAAATCAAGACAGAGAATAATACCTCATTTGTTTCAAGGAAAATACAGATATCTTTTCTTGAAGTACGCAGTGTTTTTTTTTCTCAACTGCTCGACAATTTGGCTTACAAACAACCTTTTATAATGACAACTATAAGGAAAACACACAATCATATTATTATCTCACTAAAACACAACGAAGAGTCACACAAGTTAAAGGAACGGCCGATGACGAAGCCCCCACGTAAGCCCAAGCAGGTAGTCGACAAATCCTCTTACAAGATGATCATTGGACCTGATTACACACGCATCACAGGTCTTGGTTATGTGGTGTTTTCGGCTTCTCTGTTATTCCCTTTGTTCTGATCTTTATGTATAACATTAGTATTACTCCCATACTGCCCAACTTTGGTTGTCAAATTGGCTGGTTGTTCGTAGGTATACTTGTGCCTAATTGTTTGGGTTGTTCTATTTGATTCTTAAATCAAATTTCATCGGTCAATCTTATTAATCTTTTTTTTTCTTTCTTATCGTTTTCTCGCTTTCCTATCTCCCCTTTATTTATATTTACCATGAATGGAGAAACCATTATGATATATATTTATACGTATTTTAAG